CGTTTTCAATGAAAGATGAGCTTCGATGTGCAGTGAGAGAAGACGCTGACCGGGAAGCGTATCCCTACTCATTTTTCGTGTAATCATCCGAATCAAACCAGCTTCATCGGTCGTATTTCGAAATTTAATACTCAGATGTTGTAATCTGGGTTTCGTTTGCAGAACAAAAAATCCTCGTTTGGGCATGTCGAGCACAAGTTCAAGATCTAGTTTAGCGACTCGGATCGATCCGAGGACCTTGAATAGCAGCCTGTCCTCGACATGGACCCATCGAAGACGGGCTTCGTGCAGAGATGGAAGAGTATTTATTGACTGTGCATCCGCAGTGTCGAATATTGCACAGTCGGAATATAGTTCCTTGACATTTGGTGCATGAAGAAGAGGTAGGAAGTGCGCCAAATTACAGTTTGTCAAGGCCAGCTTTTGGACGGTAAAATGCGAAAGAGGAGTGACTGGTGGAGTCCAATTTATGGAGCTACGGTCGTAGCCTTTAAGTGCACACTCGGAAATATTATCGCAACTCGCAAGAATGAGATAAAAATCTCGAGGATTACAGAATGAGATCGTTATGTTGGTGAGTTGAGACCAAGGCATATTGATAGGAGGGTCGCAGAGGATACTAGCTTTGAGCATTAGCGTACGTAATGCTGGTGCACTAGAAAAGCAAGGCAATAAAGCTGGAGCACCAGTTAAAATTGGATGAAGGTTTCGCGGAGTAGTATCCTGAAGCTCGAGTGATTTCAACAATGGAAGTGAGTCTAGATCATTCCGAATGCTATGGAAATCGCCAGGGAGTAGGTGGAGGGAGACGTTCTCCCAGTGTTCGGAATGCTCGCACAAAAGCTTCAGAATTGCAATAGGCACCTCGTCAGAACGAGATCCGCCTTGGTGCACATGAAATGATAAGGAAGCTGGGACAGAATGCTGCAAGTAGTCTCGTAAACGAGACTTGATGATTGAATTAATGTGTTTTCGGATGGAAGCATTGTTGTGAGAGGCCAGGAATATGTTGAGATAGACCGGAAAAGGTTTGATATTTAGAATTCCTTTCGATGTGGCTCGCCAATGTCGGCTGACAAAAAGCGCAGGGAACTCGTCTTGCTTTGGCGTAATGCTAGGACTAGCAGGGCCATCAAACCGCCGCGTCAACGACTCAGGCCTGGATAATGCCAAAATCGTTGATAAGATCTCAACTGGAAGCCGAGAGATGTAGCTCGAAGGACGGTCTTTCCCTCGAAGTTTGAAAAGTCTGGAGAAAAAGAACAGAAAACCATTCAAAAGGTTGAGTATGAACATGGATGTCGTTGAACAAGAAGCGACTGATGACTGATTTCTATCAGGAAATTAGCGTCGCAGCTCAGGCAGTGTCCACATCGGTCGGAACATAACAGCAATACCAGAAACACATCTCTCTCAGGCCGTGCCACTGACACTACTGCTGCGACTTCCACGTAGCTTCCACGTACGACGAAATTGAATTATCGACCATTAAGCTCTGATACGACTGTATCGAAGCGGTAAGCCTAAGAATCCGGGAAGGGTCGCCGCGTGCGGAAGGAGACCATAGTACTCATTGGATCTCTAGATGTTGCAATGATTTAAAAATGAAGAATCGAAGCCAAGCTGAAAAAAAGTTGAATATGTCTGCGGCTCTTTGCATCGATGACGATGGACCTCGGGCATGAAGCTAAAGCTTGAAAAGGTCAGACAGAGAACAAGAACGACTTGCCAAGTAGAGACGTACAGAGTCTTCCCCTGAACCGAACGGTCTATAACCAACATAAATTCATGAAAAGTACACGACGACGGCAATAGCGTTTTCCCTACTCCACCAAATGGAGCTGTACGTTTATGGCGGAGGATTTCCACTCAACCTCAACCTCAACGCGAGTATTTGAGCTTGGAGGCTACTTGGAGGTGATGGTCGATATCCGATAATCGATAACGATTCTCGAGCTTGAGACCGGAGAATCATGCCTTAGTAGATAGGAATGAAGGAAGATCATTGACCCGCACATCGGGATGAGCGACTGAATGTCATCGATGCAGATGGCCAGCGGTAGGACTGGACATTGTCAATTCGCGCGGCAGCATTCGGATATTGGGTGAGGGTCCCTGTATATCGACCGTGTTTGTGGTAGATCCAAAAGCAGAAAAAAATATCAGCAAGGCTTCGGATTCGGGAAAGGCAGCAATAACGAACATGTATTCCCTCGCAGCGATCCACGGAGAGTACTTCCCCATGACTACACGACGTAGCCTCGGATTCAGCTTCCTGAGGACAAACTCAAATGGCCCAGCTAAAGTGCAGGGTTGGAGCAGAGGTGGAGGCCAGAGCACATCTCAAACAATAAATTGCCGAATCAGAAGTGGGGAAGCGTCGCCAGCCAAACGTGAAGAACAGCCATAGGCATTGGACGGAAATCCTGAAATGGTAAACTAGGGTAAGCTACCAAGAGCCTCTATAACCTGTCACCTGAATAGCGACATACAGTCTCCTTAAACCAATGATTTTTCTTGTTCGGAAACGCTCCTATTTGCACTTCAGGCATGCCAAACTGTTCCCGAGAGAATGGTGCTGCGCGAGTGGCGCGTATACAGCGTCTTCTTGTCAGAACGGCCACGAGCAGCTCGGGTTGCGTTGGCGACATCCAAGGGCTTGGTGGACGTGCATGCGTAACGGAATGGATCGGACCGGAAAAATGGCTGACGTTCGACACGTGAGCTTGCCCACTGACTCACTTTACGCGGCGCCCCGTTACCCCTCAAAGTACGTTCCATACCTACTTATTGAGGTAGCACATGTATTAATTCAGGACTAGCGCTATTTAGAGAATGAGAAATTGCGGAAAAAAACAAATTTACAACTTTGTTCTTCTCCGTTATACCTTGTGTGCAGTGGCAGTATACGAGACCGAGCATGCCAGTCCGTTGCTATCTCTCCATATTAGCGGTGTCTTTTACTTTCCCCTTGGCACTCCCACACATTGGTTATACTAGTTCAGTCAGTACACGCCATCCCCTGCTGCATCTGTCTTGAATCAATATCGAATGAATCGAAAGCTATCGATGGCAGATGAACGAGTTAGAACAGGCAGTCCAGGTTCAAGGTAGAGTGTTTGTTTGTAATTTTACGCATACATACCACCATTTTAGAGCCAAAGAGCCCGGCATGAATGGAGCAGCAAAGTTTCGTTTTTGTTTCTTAGTTCTCAAGCCCCGTTCCTTACGCACCTGTGATCGATCCTCTTTCCTTGCGCCCCGGTGTTCAACTCATGATGTTTTGCATTTCAGAAGTCGACTGATACTACAATCTAAGAAGACCTTCTGTCTTTCTAAACTTGAATTACAATTCCCAGCCCTCTTATTCATATCAGGACCTCGGTTCACTTAAAAGCCCATTCTCCAGTGATTGCTCCCCTCGCAGCATGCTGGTCTCAGCGATTCTCTACCTCTTGCTTCCGGCATTACAGGCGTCAGCCTTTGCTCTAGATCAAAATGCTGTTATTACTCGCGGCGAGAATAAACCCAATTCTACGACCACGTTGTTAGTCAACGCTATAGTCGGGAAGGAAAACATATCTTCTGTAGAATGTTGGGCGGTTGAACCGGGTTATCAAATCTCAGCTCAAGTGCGCCTATTTTTTTAAAAAAAAGCCGATGTTCCAGTGCTGTAATGCTGTATTCCTTGGGTTAGACTGGAAACAATGTCCTGCAGCTAGGAGACTTGTCAAATGCTTCGTATAGTCTTTGGCCTAATAGTGGAGGTCCCATTGATCTCGGGTAGGATTTTGACTGGAATGTATGCAAAGCTTCAAACTCACACCTATATGCTTTAGTTTTCACAATGCGCCTGCTATCCAGTGGGTCGTAATGCTCACTGGTAGTGCAAATATCACCTTTCCCAATGTGACTTCCAATCTTACCGTGGGTCCTGGGGAACTTTTCATTGCCGCTGTATGTCCTCCAGCTCGTCTAAGATAGTTTTGTGTTGATTATTGATTCATTACTACTACAGGATGTAGCAGGAACGTCTGCCATTGGTCACCGCACTGTGGGTGACTCTGGTAGCACTGTTCTTCAAATGCCATTCCAGGATGGGATTACAGTCAATCATACTGTTGTCAATAGGACTGGTCCTTGCACTTGAATAGCAATGTCAATCAACTAGTACTTAGCGCACATATGTGTGAATGTGTCATGCCATAGTGTTATCAAATGCATTTCCAAATTCGTTCACCTGGGAGGTCAAAGCGATCCTTTCCATCTCAATTCAGGAAGTTATCATGAGGCAGTCTCAATTTCGAGCTTAAATCTAGCTATCTCAACCCCAATGAGTTCTGTTTTGGAATTGAATGTTTTGCATGAGGTTTTCTGCTAATAGCAGTACTCATTACTGATTATTACTTGCAGACACTGCGATCACTAGCAGATGAAGAATAGAAGAAGTATGAAAAGGAGAATTACGCGTTTTCGGCGACCCACATCTTACAGTTTTTTTGAGGAGCTTCAGGCGGATGAGCGACCTATATATATGACGCATCTAGCTCAAAATTTGGGATTTTTTGTATCACATATGGCTTCCCGCTAGGAAAGGTGCCTCATGGCGGATGGGTCCTGCCCAAAACAGCAAGTCCCAGGTCCCAGGATGCAGAATGGACTTATAAACTAGTGGAAAAGTGGCTCTGCAGTGACCAGTGGACGAGAGGCTGAGACAAGGGTGATAAAGATCCCTCAGATTCGGATTCTTCCTTCCCTTTAGAAATTAGGAAAGTTGAACAAAGTCACATTGATCAGTGGACTCGGAGCCAGCACAACATTAGCTTGAATCCGAGCCATAGTGGTGACCCCAACTCGGAGGAACTAGTCTGGCATGTCTTGCTGAAATATTGATATCCTAAAAGGCATCAGGGAAGGCGATTTCCTGAAGAAGGAAACTGCACCTAGGGGATTTCTAATAAGAGAAAAAGAAATATAGTGATGACTCTCTCCATCTACTATGATTTGACCCGGGCTCGAACCGGGGAGCTTCTCAAACTAATGTACAGAGATGCAATAACCAGTTACACCATCAAACCGGTACAAAACGTACACATATAGGTGCGAAAATTTCTCAGTCTGGATATCGAAGGGGGTGGCATCAGATGGGAGGTGACGATGGCAGCGGAGGCAGAGGTAGCAATGGGGATCCCTCAGACTCGGATTCTTCCTACCTTTAGTCACATTGATCACTCGGACTCAGATTGAAGACTGGCCTTTCACTGGGCACTGATATTCCTGAGTGAAGTCATCCAGAGGAAGGACGTATTTCCACTGTTTAGGCCTAATTCTGCAACCACAACTCCATGTGGATTTCTAATATTGGAAGAAAGCAGGATGTTCAGATTATGATGGTCACTGGAGAATTGTCTAGTATATGTACTGGTGAAGTGATTATTAGAACATTTATCAAAAACAGTAGAACACAGGAGAACGTGAAACCATTCAATTGGACTCTAAAAGTATAAAAAGACATGCTCTATGATCCTCTATCGTGACCATGATTCGACCCGGGCTCGAACCGGGGACCTTCTGTGTAACTTATCACCAGAATATGTTAGACAGATGCGATAACCAACTACGCCATCGAACCAATGCAAACATGAACATCAGTCTTATTGAATTGTACTTAACTGTCACCTTGTGAAGAATACCTACCCGTCCACGCACAGCGGAAACGGACATTTAGAGCGTGGGCCACTGATAGGGGATTTCGCTGTTGATTACTTACATCGAAGGGTGGCATCTTCGAAGGCTCTACCGAGCGACAATCGATGAAATTGGGGGATAGCATCAAACGGGAGGCGAGGATGGTGTCGGAGGGCAAAGCGTTGGTGTGGAGAGGGAGGTTGAGACGGCGAGTATGACGTTGATGTTGAAGAGGAGACGCAGATGGAGGAAGCAGTGGCGGAGATGGCAATTCAAGACGCAACGGCTCGTTGAAATGAACGAGTATCTTTACGTTGAGAGCCATTTCTTCATTCTCCCCGGTCGCCTTGTAAGCCGATGAGTGCAGAAAATCTCGATGATGGAATGGATCGTAGTCGTCGACGACAGCGGCTGGGTCATTGAGCATCGTTGTAAAGCGATTCAAGGGCAAACGGAAAGATGCAAGTAAAAGACTGGATGAAAGAGGAAAGGAAAAGGGCATGGTCATTATTGGGAACGATATGTATTCCGTAGGAACTCACTCGACATCCACAAAATATTCTGGTAACGGCAGCAACCTGAACCAAAACCCGAGTACCGACTCCGATTCCAATCCCGGAAATGTTTTCATCGCCAATGTGGATTGGAATTTGAATCTCCGTGTCGTAGATTTGGTCGATGAAGAAATATACGAAGCCTAGGAGTAAGCCAAACGGCAGGCCTAAGTCAAAGACAAAATCACTCCCGGACAAGCTCTACCGTGAGGTTAATCGTGGAGAAATTGGGTATACTCTAGGGGACGCGTCAATTTCCTGTCTATGCAAATGCATGTTTATGGATACAGGATAGAGAGAATGGGAGCGATAATGAGAGAAGAGAGTCAGCAACGGCGAGCAAGAAAAAAGTTAGGAAAGGAAAAGACATACAGTGGCCATTCCGAAGCTCGGACAGACGCCGACAACAGATCTCAGTGCTAACTACTCGTTGACGAAGGAGTCAAGCATGGCGCTTGGGTTCACCTATATACTTGTGATGAGAGTCTGGTCATGATTCATAGAGAGCTGAGGTCAAAGGTGAAAACAAGAACTCATACTCACCACTCGAATTCAAAACCTCCGCCAACCGCCTACCAGCTGAACGCCAAATCAACTTGATGTCGAAATGACGATTTAGGAGTTGAGTGCAAGGAGGCGAAGCCGACCGAGAAATGGTTAAGGGTGTCCATGTACCATGATGTGTTGACGACACCGAGCGCGAGTACGAGACTGGCACGTCGTGAAAGTTCAAACTTTCAGTAGAAAGTTTGACTGGGCGCTTAAATTTAGCTTCACACTGTTATAACTATGTCTATAGATCTCAGACTCTGGCTTTGGCTAGACAGGTCCGCAACTACGACCTCTATCCTCGAACGTTGCACTCCTCAATCCATACGTAGTATAAGTTGCATCGAACTTGCTCAAAGCAGCACACTCTTACGTGCGTTTTTTACAGGGTATTCTTTCACATTTACCATCCCCTTCTCTCAAAATCCTTCAACGTATCTCTCGTAGTTTCCTCCATAGAACGATACTTCAACTCATGACCGAATATCTTCGAAGCCTTAGCCGTGTCAAAAGCGATCTTTGGAGGCTTTCCTGCCCCACGGTTTCCTTTTGGCATGTCGGTGTGCGAAGGGATCGGGGAGGGGGAGAGAGCGTTGGCTGTATCAACTGGAAGGAAGAATGAAAGCAAGTGAGCCGTTGATACTAGGAGGCATTAGCCGAAGACTTACTAAAATCTTGAAACACCCACTCTCCCGCACTCACCACCACCCTCTCTCCTCCAGCCTCCTCCTTAATCAAAGACAGAGCATGTGCAAGTGCGATATCACGAACATCAACCCAGCCGCTTCCGAAAGTGGCCAGTTCTTCGAGGGATTTACCTCCCATGTCGGGACGCACAACGGTGTTGTACCAGTCGCCAGCGCTTGCTCCAAGGGACGAGGGAGATGAGACGTCGTGGATCACAGGGCCAAAAACCTATCAAGAGAGGCGCTTCTGAGATAAGGTGAATAATGAGAGCAAATTGACATGGTACATACGTTTGGTGGGTTCAAGACAACAAGGTCCCAAGAAACTTTCGCTTTGTTTGCTTCATAAAAATCCCAAGCAGCTGCACCCAATGTTAATGGCCAGCAAACTTAAGTGCACTAGGGATCAAATATACCTCTCTCCGCCAACGTCTTACTAGCACAGTACTTGTCTAGCGCACTCGCATCCTTTCCGTTCTTCTTTACCCCCTCAACGGATAGATCATTCCAATCCACTTCCGAGAACCGCTTGGGCTCGGGGAGGAGGGACAGAACAGCTGCGCAGGAGGATGTTATAACGATTCGTTGTACGGATGAGACAGCAAGCGCGCTTTTGAGGACGCCGATGGTACCGTTTACAGCTGGGACGATGATTTCTAAGTACATTCACACGCCCACTTTCAGTGCTACATATGAGCTCGAAGATCATAATCATCATACCTTCCGGATCTTCAGCGTTGAAATGAACAGGCGAAGCGGTGTGTTCGATGGCGCCAACACCTTTGACGGCTTCATCGAATGCTCCTTCAGTAACCCCGTTAGCTTTGTTAAACAGTAGGGGGCTAATTGAAGTTTTTGTTAAACGTGTTAAACAAACTACATAGTACTACCCTAATAAAGTTGTTAAACATATCCGTTGTGCTCAGTTGAAGAGAGCGTTCAACCACGTTAAACGCAATCTTGAGCGCCCCATCCACTGGCCCCTCCGACTGTTGTAGCAGTTCAACTACGTTGAACGCCTTTCCACAGCAACTCACGCGCCCCATCCATTGGTCCTCCTGCAGCGGTTCAACTACGTTCAACGCCCGTTGAACGTAGTTGAAGACCTTTAAGCATTAATCCACCCACCTCGTTAAACTGCGTTGAACGGCTTCATAAGTTTAAACGCACCAAATAATTCCATACACTCCACATAATACATGTTAAATTATACACTAGCGACCGTTAAACTGGTTAAACTGGTATATGAACGGAAAGACCCCGGTTAAACCGGTTCAGCGGAATAAAAACAAGGGCGAGAGGGAGAATGACAAGCATAGGAAGAGAGGAGTAAAGAAAGAGAGAGGAAGCATGTTAGGACGAACCATAAAGTCCAGAAAAACCAAATAAAGACAATAATGAAATCACAACCTTCGACTCTTCCGCTTCTTCTTGGGTGGCTGCTGGACACCGACGTTCTCCTCTGTCCCTCTGGTATCTACTTCCTCATTGACAGACCGCCCGCGTTTCCTAGTGCGCCCTCTACCAGTATCATTGCTTGTCGTTGCACTGTCTTCAACAGGCACTGATCCCGGAATAGGTTCCAGCGTATATGACCAAAACCTGGACTGCTTCTTGCCCGGGATGATGACATCCCTACCGGAGGGACCCGCCTCGTTAGAGCTAGCTGTCTTTCTACGACCCCTAGTGCTTCTGCGTAGAGGCCCTGCGGCATCCTGGTTCGAAGCGCCGAGTTCGTCGATGGTGGCTGAAGGCCCCCGAGTAACCCCACTAGCAGAAGCAGCCCGTCCTTCACCTTCTGATATCGAAGCACGAGCGGGAGGTCGAGCTGCAATGGAAGCAGGAGCTGGAGTGTGCGCTGGAATAGGGGTGGGCTCTCGGGAGGAATGTGAGTTGATTCTCGAGCAGGGGTGGAGTCGGATCCCCGAAGAGGAATGGCAGTCGGCTCTCGAGGAGGGGCGGGAGTCGGCTCTCGAAGAGGAATGACAGTCAGCTCTCGAGGGGGGGCGGAGTCGGCTCTCGAAAGAGAATGGCAGTCGGTTCTCGAGGAGGGGCCGGAGTCGATTCTCGAGCAAGGGAGGGAGCCGGCTCTCAAGGAGGAATGGTAGTCGGTTCTCGAGAGGGAATGGCAGTAGCCTCTCGAGGAACAATGGGATGGGCTCTCGTTCGCGTCCTGAAGTTGAGGTAGTCGCTGGAGGCCAGCAGCGCAAGCAGGCTGAACGGCTTGCTCACGTTTACAGAAACAAAAACAGATCCCTCTTGTAAATATCAGCCAGCGCCACTATTTTTGCCGGCGGCGAGTGTTTGAGGGTCAACCAGTTGAACAGGCAAGCGGAACTCTTGCTCATTGTAGAAAGATTGGGGATCTTCTTTAATTTCGTCCCAAGGTATCTCGCTGCCGTACTGTTTGCCTAAATAGCCTATCAATAAGATATTTAACAAGTTGATTCCAAGTAGCACTCACCCCAAATTTTACCAAAAAACTCTTTCACCAACGTTTGTATATCCTTCATTTTGAAGTCAGCGAAGTCGAGGTCTGGAAAGAGCGCAAAGCCTTGGTCGTCATACAAGAAGAGGTCACCCTCTTGGACTAAAGGCAACACTTCAACCGCCCAATCATGAAACGGTTTCACGTAACTCTTGAGAAACTCGGTTTCGCCAATAGTTTCTGCGGCAAACTCTTGGCCACTGGACCCCACCGAGAAGCTGGTATCACCGTACGTCAGTTGGCGATATTCATGATATGGCTCCAAATAACTTACTTTCTTGTTTGCACATCCTGGCGTTCGTCGCGATAAGAATACACCACCAACGCTTCCAGCGGTCCTACGCGGCCTGATGTTGCGAGGGCTCTGAACAAAACCGCTAGAGCCGTTTCTAACCTCCTTTGATTGCTAGATATTGATCAGGTAAGTTTCATGAACAGCACAAAAGAATTCACTCACCCAGCAAGGTCGACCTCTTTCGCATCTTCATCCCACTGGCTTCGCTCATCCTTCGTTAACCCGTCCCACATGTTCTTCACCACCGTCTGGTAGTTCTCGCCATGCTCAACTCGCTGCTGGATATCATCTGCTCGCTGCACCTTGAAAAATTCCCGACCTGTGCAGGGGGCACGGAGTTCTCGAATACTTGCTATGATTTTGTTCGCTTCC